CTCTAGTCCGGTACAGATAAAACACAGTATCGCTCAAGCCAGATAATAGAAAACACCGAATAACTTCTACATTGGCCCGAACATACCACTTTTCGTCCGCGCCGTAGCTAAGAAAAACCATGCTGAAATCCAATTGGGTGATAGATTAAGGCTCTCAGCCAATTTGATTACAGAAAAGGTTTTCTTTGCGCTTATAAGGTTGAAATTAGCGAAAATTGTTTTACCAGTAAGTCTATTCTGGCCACCAGAATTGTGTTATACTCATTATTTGTATTACCCAGGACGAGCAATCCGACAGTTGGATCCCATCGAATCCGATGCATTTCGATCGATTCCTACAGGATTCTATGGGAATCCGGGTTGTGGACCCACTCACCGATCCCTAGTGTTGGAATTCGATCGGATCTTGCAGGAACCAATCAAAATACGATAGGAGCCTATACCCAGGTCAATGATTCCAGTAAACGGATGCCGCAGGAACCAGCAGGTAAATGCGGGAAAACTCACCGTATCCTGCAGCAAATCGCGAGAACATGGAAGCAGTATTCCGGTCGGAAATTTTTCGGATTTTTTCCGGTGACTTCCGGCCAGTTCCTGCTGGAAAGCACAGAAAGTCGGTCGGAATCTACCGAAAAAATCCGAAAAATTTCCGGTGGAAATACTGCTTCCATGTTCCCGCGATTTCCGGTGTTTTCCTGCAGTTTCCCGCCGTACGTCTTTGACCTGGATAGTAATCTCGTCGGAATCCGTTAGTGGGTCCACAACCCGGATTCCGATCGGATTCGTCGTCGGATTCATTCACCTGGGTTGGCTTGCATAGAAGTTTAAATTTCATTTTTTCCTGCTCCTTCCATATTATGCAAATGGAGAATAGACAACGATGTATTGTCAATGTGTAGTGTATGAAAATAAGTACATTCTGTAGAAACACATGTTTCGATGAACTATAAGCTTTCAACTTGAAATTAAAAGCGTAACACAAAGTCTATTTCTGTTCAAATAAAAGTTTAGTCTGGTCTATGGATTAAATACAAATAGTCCGTACTGCCGACCACAAAATGACCTTTTGTGACTATTCTGTTTCGACGGCGCAGAACGAAAACATTATTTACTAGAAAATAGTCTAGCGAATTGATAATCTATCTTATTTTCCATAACTCAACTTCTACGGATCAGAGTAATATGAGCAGGTTCACTTCCATAATTATTATTTTCTGTGACGAGAAAGCAACGCTTTATTCTGTTTCTATATAAGATTTGTTCGCCCGAGTCTCTTCTATCCATCTTCATTCTCGTATTTATTTCATTTCAGGTGACCAGAAAATATAGTTATATTTCTTTTCTTGATGAACTCAGTTTGCTCGACTATCTACTAATGATCTTCATCCTTGTGTTTATTCTATTTCTGGTGACTACAGTAGACTTACTGGCAAAACAATTTTTGCTAAAATCCTTGGTTTCCATGGTACAAGATTTCTAGTATGGTAGAAGCAAGATGGCACTTGATCACAATATGTATTGCATGTATTATATTCAAAAAAAACCCTAAATTGAAAAATCCCCAAATTAAAATCCCTATTTGGTTACCAGTATAAATGTTAATTGATTAATTATTCACAATGTAGATTTCATTTAGGGATGAATTCAGGGAACCTGATTTGTGGTAAATGATAACCTACCGAGGGGAACTAGGGGCGAATTTTTCGGCGAAAACTAGTTCGCGAAAACATTTGAAACATGTTAGTCGACTGAGTTTTTTATGCTGATTCCAAATATGGTATTATATTAACTATAAGCCGTCGTCTTCTAATAGAAATCTACGAAATACCATGCAAAAAACTAAGAAAACAACTCAAAGGTAGTGGGCTTGAGAATTTCTCACGTGGTCAGTAATTTTTGAGTTTAAAAAACATATATTTTTGTAGCCCTTCAAAAGGGCTATCGAATGGATTATGCCAGAAAAAATGTCCATTCCATTTTCGAAGACAAAACTGTTTCAGAAGATGAAGGTGTATTCGAAGTACTACAGCCAAATTATGACACTTTGTGGATGATCCTATGGCTACTGAATCTCAATACTTACCCAATGAGTTTAGTGTTAAAACGTCGGCCTAAACGAGGGCTTTCGTCTCCTATATAATTCGACTTGATTGGGAACAAAAACTACAATGAGCCATTTCGTGGTCTTGTGCTCCCCGTCCTTTCGGCCTACCCATTAGATAGCGATTACACGAAACAATTATCGATAGCGAGGAAAGAAATTAATACGAGTCTGTTACGTCCGTAGTGTTCCCCTACGGCCGTAAAACGGAGTGGAGATATCCCTTCTGGTATAATGGTAGTGCATCTGCCCGGTAAGCAGAAGGTGAGTGGTTCGAGTCCCGCGAATTCGTATCTTTTTCTCCGTTCTGCTGATATTCCATCACGCTGCTTAGTCGCGATCATGAGTCATAACATCAGACTCTAACAGAGTCTTGCTCTCGCTTCAATTTTTCTTATGGCAAAAGCTGCATTACTCACGACGAGATCACTTGTCCTTTTAATTTAACAGTTAGCTATATGCTGAGTAACACGAAATGCAAAGCAACTACATATACATAATTTAAAAGTAGCATTTAGCTAGATAGAAGCGTTACTCTAAAGCTTACTTGACTGATGAGTAGTGGTTGTAGTTATGATTGGTGTTGTTGTTATTATTGTTGTTGGTGGTGTTGTTGTTATCGTGGATGATGGTAGTGTTGTTGTAAAGGATGCTTCTGTTGTTGGTAATGGTGTTGTTAAGTGTGATGTTGCTGTTACTATTGTTGTAGTCACGCTAGTTTTCGACTCCACTGGCTTAAGAATGACAAATTTTAATAACAGAGAGAGAGTGACTACAACAATTGCTAAAACGATCAAAGATATGGCGATGATCCAACGACGTGGCAGACATTTAGGTCGCTCATTATTTTCATCATTATTTTCGAAGTACGCCTGGTTCTTGTGCATACTTTATTTTACAAGAATTTCATTTTAAAACAAGAAAAACAAATTATTGTTCGAAACTACTTAATATCTGTCGTTTGCTATTAAAGAACTGATAAAATGCAAGCAACATTGTGTCGAACGCAAAAAGTATTCGTGTACTCTTACCTTTGTATGATATATGTCATATATCACAAATATAGAGCAAATTTACGTTTCATTTTAAAGTTGTTTCACATAAAGAGTTTGTGGAGAACCTATACAAGTTTATTGGAAGACTTCCATATAACGAGGATATGAATTGACTTCCCAGGTCAATGACGCTCAGCCGTAAACGGTCGTTCACTGACCAAATACGGCGAATAACGGCGACTGTTTACGCTAGCTGTATACGGCAGCAGTAAACGACGATTTACAGCATATTATGGTAATCGTACACGGTGCCCATAAAAGTTCATCGTAAACTACTACCGTAACAATACGGTGACTTTATACTTTGGTCGAAAAACAATGTAAAGCATCGTATACGTCAGCCGTTTACGGTGACTGTTTACAATGGTCGTACCTGATGCTTTACGGCGTGCTACGGCAATTGTAAACATTGACCGTAAACAGTCGCCGAAAACGACTAGCGTGATAACACGATGACCGTATACGCTGGTATTATAAAATGTTGTAAAACACAGTGTACGCGAGCAGTATACAGTAGTTGCTTACGACCATCGTAAACAACATTTTACGATGATTTGCGGCCGATGTAAACAATTGCCATAAACAGCCACCGTATACGACTTCTGTAACAATATGCCGACTGTATACGTTCATCGCATAATATTGTGATGCACTGCCTGTGTCTATTATAATTCGTTCGATATAGAATTACTATTTTTTATGGTATTTCCTCACAAACGATTCTTAATGTCGGCGAATTTCTATTATTGAATATCAGTAACATATTCTCATGATGAGGTATACGAGTCGACAAGTAACAAAAGTTGCGTTTCCATAAAGTCATGGAAGTCTCTGGCTTTTCTTTCTCATATGAGCAAAACTCTGATAAAAGTCAAGATTTTCAAAACTATCTTCTCCTTGCCAGTTTGGTGTACACCCTCTCGTATTTCTGTAAGAGGTATAAACGTCAGAAACGATATCACAACATAGCAATAAACAAGCTACATACTTCCAAAGTGCATCCATGTAGGAAAAGGCTAAAAATGAAACTGAAATTGACTATTTTTAGACTAAAAATTGATTAAATACCGGCATTTTGATCTGATTTTCATAATATCTTCCATTCTGAATGATGAAGTTGAGCTGATTTAAATCTTTTCAATCGATTATATAGTTTAAATTAGTTTTGGTTGATTGTTGGAAATCGATCATAATTTCTCTTTTAACCACTTTTGCGTACTTAAAAAGTGAGTATACTTCAGAATCGGTTAGCGTGTTCGGCCGGCCGTGGGGTCGTTTATAGATAACTTTTGAAGCGAGACTTTATCGGAAGTGACTGTGAATTTATTCTGTTTCTTCATCTACACAGACATCGACACCCTCCCTCACGAGATCAGAAGGCAACATCGACGCTAGAGACCCCTGATGCACTGTAAAAAAATCGTAGAATAAAAAACGAAAAAAGGGTTTATGAAAGTGCAACGTGTAGCAAACCCTTTTCAACCGTTTATCAACGAGTCATAAACCCTGTTATAAACCCTCTAAAAAGGGTTTAATACGGAGTTTATTAACGTTAAATATTCTTTCTGGAAGGTTTATTGAAGGGTTGATAAGATTCATAAATCTTTAAAGGGATTGCGACACGTTGCACTTTCATAAACCCCTGAAACGGGTTGATAATTAACATAAACGTTCTTATAAAACCTTCGAAACTCAGTCTAAAAGGGGTTGATTAAAATACTATACCCGTGATCCCCTCTCAGAAACGATATTGGAAAGCGTTTATGCGCATCATGAATGGTCGACAGCGTTTGTGATAGGGTATATGAAATCGATTATTAATCCCATCAACTGCCTCAAGGGTTTATGATAAGGTATATGAAACCGATTCTGAACCTCATCAACCGCTCCAAGGGTTTATGATAAGGTATATGAAATCAATTCTGAACTTCATCAACTGCCTCAAGGGTTTATGATAAGGTATGTGAAAGCGATTCTTAGCCTCAAATATCGCTCTCAGGTTGAATGTTAGGATAAATAGAGTGATTCAAGAGTACCACGAACTGTCTTCAGGGGTCGGAGAATGACTGAATAGATGCTTTTTTCACCTTGATCGATGGGCGACACATGTCTATGAAAACAGATATGCAGAATTAATTTGTAGTTTTCATAATTGTATGTATCTAACCCTCGCTATCTATAGCATTTCATAATAATTAACAAGAGGATGGTAGAGTCCCAGAGGCTGGAAGAAACCACATCCGTTATTTTCTCTACGTTTTGAGCTTCCTATTTGACGAAATTCTTACTCGATCATGTCTTAGAATCCAATATTGACTAACTAAGAAACGAGCGAAACTAGAAAACCTGAAGATAATTCGATCGAGAATCAAAATCTAGCATGATCAATAAAGATAAAAATCAAGATGATTAAAAGGAATCGTACGAATCTCTTTCTAGCAGTGACTAATCAATACAAACAGGATAGGTAAATCACCATAAACTGAGGAGTACGTAACTTGGAGGAATGATTTTAAGTGGTTGCTTCAGATAAATTCTTTGTGATGTCACACGAAAACGTTTACTCACTTTAATTGATGTTGATCGTTTACCATGTTCTCACATAAAATATTAAGCAAATAGCATTTGAAGTTCAGCACATTCTGTATTCACTTTGAAGATTTTGTTTGACAAAATCTAAACAAAAAAGCATGAGTTATTAATAGATGACGATTTCCTCTTCAAAAAACTCTGATTAAATTGAAAACTTACTATAAACCAGTACATTGTGACTATCAATTGACAACAATCACTGACGTAAATTATGAAACACATCTAAAAATTCAAAGTAATTGCCACTCACCCATACGTGAAACCTTTCTATTGAATTCATGATCGTAATTCCATTAATCGATAAAAGAGATCGAACCCAAAGATCAAAAAGAAAAATTATTAAGAAGTGAGCAAGAATCGAAGTATTAATAACGTATTATAAAGCACTCAAGTTATTAAGTATCTCGTCTGAATATATAAATCGTATGCACGTTCATCGAAACTTAAATTTTACAAATGAAATGCTATTCTCAACTACATAATGCTACTGCTCCTTCGCTGGGAAACTTTAGTAGAAGCACTCGCTACACTGATACGACGGCTACTTATCATCAAAAAAGATACACAGAACCCAGCCAATCCATTGTTTCTTTCTCTCCTTCGCCCCGATCAACGCCTCACATATGAAAAATAACGTCAGCACCTTACGAAATAGTTTATAGCTTCTCTATAAAAAAAACTCAACTAGAAAAAAATATACTCATCTTATTCTGTTTGAAAACAAGAAGTATCATTCCGCAGTCATCGACTGTAAAGTACAACTAGTTACCCAAATTTTACACAGTTTTGTTCACTAACCGATATGTATCAAGCGCGAAAAAAACTCCATCACCTTAAAGAAACAAATGCGTGTCTATAATTTTCTTATGAAGCAAACATAATCTTGTAAAAGAACTGAAGCTTCATCTTCAACCGATTAGAGAAAGAACTGATGTCTACCAATTAATTGTGAATGTAGATGTTTTCGTGATGAGTTAGAAAGTTTACCTTGTTTGAATGGATAGATAAAATTAATATATAAAGGAATCTTTTCACATAGGAACACAACCTTCCACTTATTTTTGAT